CTACCGCTGCCAACCCACTCCGCACAGTCTCAAAGTTGATCCACACCTTTCCTCTTGCTCCCTCCCTCTCTCTTCCTCTCTCTCTCTCTCCCTCTCTTCCCCCCTCTCTCCCTCTCCCCCCTCTCTCTCTCTCTCTCGCTCTCTCGCTTTTCTCCCTACCATTCCCTTTCCTTCACTCCGGCCGTCTCATCACTTCCATCCCGCCGAGGGATTTGTCATTGTTTGCGTCGCCTGCACTCTCGACGGCCATTGTTCGGCGCTCGCGACCATCCTGCCCGCTGCCGCCCACACGGCGCCCATCAGGAGTGCCGGAGACAGCCCAGGGCCGGGCCGTTACCGCCCTGAAAGTTGGACGTCTGGGGGCGCGTCGTCAGCTCTGCGTGGGGACAGCTGCCTTTGTGTGGGGTGTCACCCCCCCCCCCCCCACCGAAGCAGCACGTGGGTCGAACGTATCGCCGGTCGGCCATGATCTGCCAAGGCCATAGCCACCCGGGCCGCCTCAGCGCGAGCGATGACGTCATAGTTCTCGTTAATCCGATGGACATAACAGTGGCAAAGGCAGCGATCTGAAGTCACGTTTCCTGCAAGTGGCCGGCGAGCTCCGGTCGCTCGCCGAGGTGGCGTCACTGCGATGACGAATTCGCGTCTGCGCCTGGCCGCCAGGACCGGGCCACCTCGCGCGGATCTCAAAACGAGATACCACCTCCCGCGGTTATACCCACCCTGGAGACACCGCCGCCGCATCAGAAAAAGGCCTCCCAGGTCAGCCGTGCTCGGACATGACGTCACCGCCGGACCCGGCGTCTCGTACGTCGGCGCGCCTCAGAGGAGCCGGGCAGCGGCCCGTGTCGTCGCTGCCCCGTTACCGGCCGGTCCAGCCGCGCCGGGTGCGGCGCTAGCGACGCGGAACAGGTCACGGCGAGCAGACGACCCGTGCCGCCGCCGCGGGCGCGGGCGAGCCGGCGCGCGGCAGTGGGTTGGGCGGGCGCCTTGGCCTTGCGCGCCGCGGCTCATTGAGATGCGGGGCGGCCGGCCGCGGTCCTGCCGACCCATTCGGAGGGCCGATCAGGTGCCGCCGTGCCGCGCCCACCGCTGGGGCTGACGGAGAGACAGCGGGACCGCGGCGTGGGCCGGCGGCGTGGCGGCCTCTGCTGGGAGGTGTGGGAGAGGTCCCACAGGCTCGCTAACGTGGTGCTGCCGATGAGATCACGGCTCCAGGCGCGTCACGACGCTGGATGCATATTGCACGTGCTTGCATTCGACCTTGGGAAGCGCGGGACAAAATCAGCATGGGAGTATCTGTGCCCGGAACTGCTGAATGTGTGTTGGTTTGCGTTCACGCGATTGATGTTCACGCGGTTTCGCTCTCACGGAAGCCGTTCTCGGCACGGTGGCAGCAGAGGCATTGGTTGTACCTGGTAACTTTACTGCACGTCCAGCAGTGTATGACGTCGCGCAGATGAAACCAGTAGTGGTGAGACATGTCGTGTAAAGCCCTGCCAGGCAAGGCGTTACGGTCTCGTGCTCGGTGTTTTGTCATCTACGCCTGATGTAGAACACATTGTGTAATTGTTTGACGTATGTATACGCGATGTGGTACTGAGTTTACTACGCCAAAAGAACCTGCCGTAAACTGGCAACCTAGCGTAACAGTGGCGTGCCACTGGTATGTTCCTCATTGGGACGTGTGGAATGTCCGCACCCAGTGATTCGTTCAGCCCGAATTCGTTAAGGTTTTATATCTGGCATTCGGTGGACAATCAGAGGACACCACTGAACGGGCGAGGGACCAGGAATCCCTGGCATGCTCGGTCAGGGTCGTTCAGACTGCTTTGGGGCGCGCTTGGCTGCAGGCAGATGCCTCGCTCAGGCTCTTCTGCTGCTTGGCTTTCGGAGGCTGTATTGCGCGATTGGACGTGCTCTGATGGCTGTCGTACGGCCATTACCGTCACATAAATGAGAATTGATTATTGGGGCTCTTTTTTGCAGTGCGGTCCAAGCAATGTTCCTGTTTTTGCGGGTCCCTCGGCCGCGATCAGGGTGTGTTGTGATCAGATGAAGCTGGGGGGAGGGGGGGGGGGGGGGCGGCGGCGTCACACTCTGATAAACTCCAGGCTCTGGAGCCGCACTCCAGAGCTCGGGTTAAGCCCGCACTTCGACCGCCACGCTCGGGTACACCCGGCGGATCAGTTGTCACCGCGCAAGGCCCAGCCGCGGCGACGCCCTCCGAGGCTGTTGTGCAGCCGGCGCTCACGCATAAAAACACCACTGAGCGTACATCCTTTGTTTTGTGGTGGCGAGTAGCTTGACAGGCCAGGTGCGAGCGCGACAAAGGCCGGCCACCCCGTCCGCGCCGCGCGTCCGCTCCAGCAGCACCGCCTGGAGCCACCACCCAGCGCCTGGGAAAGCGAGGCGCCGCGAGAAAGGCCCGCCGCCGGCTGGCGCTGTGGCCATCTGGGACCCGTCGTGGGTCAGTTAGTGGTGCCGGCGGCCCTGCCCACAACAGGCTCACCCTGTGGGAAAGGCCCGTCGCCGGCCGGCGCTGTGGCCATCTGGGACCCGTCGTGGGTCAGTTACCGGCGCCAGCGACCCCGCCCACGACAGGTCCGCCCCGCGAGAAAAGCCTGCTAGCGCCCGGCGCCGCCGTCGTCATCTGGGACCTGTCGTAGGTCAGTTACCGGCGCCAGCAGCCTTGCCCACGACAGGTCCGCCCCGCGAGAAAAGCCTGCTAGCGCCCGGCGCCGCCGTCGTCATCTGGGACCCGTCGAGGATCAGTTACCGGCGTCAGCGGCCCTGCCCACGACAGGTCCGCCCCGCGAGAAAGGCCTGGTAGCGCCCGGCGCCGCCGTCGTCATCTGGGACCCGTCGTGGGTCAGTTACCGGCGTCAGCGGCCCTGCCCACAGCAGGCCCGCCCCGCGAGAAAGCCCCGTCAGCGGCCGGCGCCGCGGCCATCTGGGACCCGTCGTGGGTCAGTTACCGGCGCCAGCGGCCCTGCCCACGACAGGCCCGCCCCGCGCCCGGTGATTAGCAGCCGGCCGTGTTTCGCCGGGTTCACACACGCTAACTAATGGTGGCTTGATTGCTGGCCGCCTGGCTGCCGTTCACAGGAGGCCGGGGCGGGGGTGCGCAGCACACCCGGGCGTGGCGTGAGCAGCCCCGGGCACGCCACACCTCGGCAGGTTCTCACGCCTCGGACGCGGCGGGCTTTCATGTTGGTTCGGTCGCGGCCACTCAAACGGTTGGGTCAGCTGGGCTCATGACGGGAGGCCGCTTGGCTCAATTTGCAGTGCAAACATGGTTTTTGCAATGAAACGGGAGCGGTAGCAAATGTAGGAAGCAAATGGTAGCGAACTCCTTACTTTGAAGTAAGGTGTACCAAGTTTTTCCGTTTGAAAACTGCTTCTGAGCGCCTGACTCCATATGATAGCTTTTTATGACACGGTGACCAGTTTTCAACATTGAACTATCACTTTTCAGAAAGCCATTTCCATATTCCAGTTTCCTCTTACCTTCATGGACGGCTTGGGTGCATCTGCCCCGCATATTTTCGTCTCCTAATCGTTCCTGGTCATCACACACCTCATGAGGTATGATTCCTACCCGTTGTCGGCGCGCGGCGAGACACCGCACATACTCCTCGGTACTGTTCCGTAGCCACTCGTCCACAGGCCGCCATCCTCAGTCAAGCCCCAGGGACATTTGCCACGTCGTCGCCGCGCCGTGCCACACCACCCACTTCTGTGTGAGAGTTTGAAGCCAGGGCCGGAGCTGGTTTGCTGCGCGAGGTCCATCCGTACATGTCCTACCTCATCTGACCCGGTGGCCGACCGGTGCTGCTTCCCTGACCGAATCAGATGTATGCAGTTGGCACACAGCATGCAGCTGACTTGCCATGCGGTTCGCTGAACTGCCATGCACCCCAAACTGAGGTTGCAGCTCGCCAGTCTGCCCGCCGCCTCCCCCCCCCCCCCCCCGATCGGCGCGATACCCGACGACCTCCCCCCCCCCCCGCGGCTGAGCGCTTCCAGCCCGGCCGGCGCGCCGCAACCGTCGTCTCCGATAGCACTGGCGCGGCGTGCGGCCGTAAGTCACCGCAGCGCGTGCTTGCAGGCGGCGATAATGACTGGCCACGCCAAGCCCACAGTGAAACCGCAGCGAATACGTACCGTGCTTCATGAGGCGGTTGTGAGAGCAAGGGCGGAGGGGGGGGGGGGGGGGGAGAGTCTCGCGCCACTGGGCCGGCCGGCCAGCCCGTACCCCGTGTTGTTGGTCTGCAGAGCGGGGGCGGGGACGGGGGTGGGACTCTCTCGCCGCTGGGCCAGCCGGTGGGCCCGTACCCCGTGTTGTTGGTCCGCAGAACGGGGGCGCGATGGCGTCGATAGCGGGCACGTCAGCGAAACGTGACCTCTCGGCAGGCGCGCATATTTACGGCCGTGGCCGCGACCCTGGGGCGCGCACGAGATAGCACGCGACGGGGCGGGCGTGCCAGGCTGGCGGCCCTGCGGAGCGGTGGTCGGGTGCGCAGGTCTTGCAGGGTGCAGTGACCATCGCTCAGCCCCGCTTCCAGTTTGGATGCAAACTGGATGCGATTTGTTGGAGTAAAGCCAGCGTTCTGTTTTGCTGATGAACTCAAGCGATTGATAGCTGCATGGTTCTCTGGTTTCAAGTCGGCTGGCGTGCTGTATTTTCCGCATGCTTGGCCTGGCGAAATGACCTTAACGGATGGTGCTATTAAATGTTCCGGCCCGGTGCGTTTAGTGTTATTCCTTATCGAGTGTTGTTTATTGCCTCAGTTTGTTTTTATCGTGGCTGTTACATGCACGGTGCGACTATATTATCGATCAACCCTGTTTGTTACCTCTGCATTGTTGGACTTCTTTTTCGACAACGCGGCCATGGGATGCCAACATGGCGGACGTCCTCCGCGTTCCTCTGCTCCGACCCCGGCAGCCTGTCTCGTGTTCCTCTGCCCTGACCCGGTACCCGTCTCGTGTTGCAGGTCTGATGTCGGCCCAGTGAGCCGTGACCGGCGCGTCGCCCGAGGCCATGTCGGGAGACACTCTGCCGCCAGCCGGGGTGCCGGGGGCGGTGCCGCGACAGGCGCTGTCGCTGCCGCACAATATCCACCCGGACCAGATGGTCGCGGGCGAGCCGACGGGTGAGGGACGGAGTGTGCCCCATCGCCAGATCAGCGTGCAGTGGGCTGCCGCGACTGGTGGGCGGTGTCCGCCGGAAGGCCGGCGCTGTACGGGGTCTGAGGGAGAGCTTCAGTGTCCAGAGGAAGGACAGAACGGCAACGGGCAGACGTCCCGTGACTTCTGTACTTCTCACAATGACGCTAAAATATTTCGTTTTTTGGAATTGTTTACCATTGAATATGTACCTTTCTATTGCCGGCTACAGTTTCTTGCCCGGGGTGATCTGTAACCGTAGAAGCGCCCTACACGTTACATGCATTCAACCACTTTCGTAAAAAGCCCCCACCGTCTTATTTCCTCTTTTGTATGCTTGCAATTCCCTCAGCTGCCGCCAGTAAAGCAAAAAGAAGTCGGGTCGGGCTAAGCGCCGACACCACAATCGTTTTGATCCGCCGCCTCCCGCCGTGACATTTGGACCGGTCCGCCCGGCGCGCGCCCGTCACTCAATCGGCCACGTGCGCTGAACCCGTCCCCTTGACCCCTGACCCCACCTCGCTCCGCAGGCAACCGGTGGAAGAGGTTTCAGCCGCTGAAGAGGCTGCAACGCATCTTCCGACGTAAGGGCAAGACGAAGGACGAGGATGGCTTCCCCGAGGCGCCCAAGTCGTTCTCGGCCAGTCAGCTGCTGCCAGGGCAGAGGGCCAGGTAACAGGCTGACTCCGCGTGGCCGCGGCGACGGACGCTGGAGCGTTGGCGCGCGGCCAAACGGCGCAGCGTGGCGACGAAACCACTCGCGGCGCGGATAGCCACCTAGTGGGCGTTTGATGTACTTTAAGTTTCCGGGAAATGCCGTCGGGACCCGGGAGCAGCGCTGGTGGTAATGGCCCGTGTTCTGAACATCGCGTCGAGTGGCGGAGGCAGCATCGAAAACTGAATTGTTGTGTTTCCATTGTAAGCCACACTACTTGCCTTAATGTTGCGGGAAACGGTATTGACAAAGCGAGTTCTAAACTGATAAGTACAAAAGTGAATTTTCGACTCGCTCAATTCGCACAGTGTGTAAATGAAGTACTGATGAAGGATTTACCGCTACGCATTGCCGCACTTAGATCGCCCATGCCGTCACGTATGCCAGGAAGCATTTACACTCGCCTAAAAGCCGCTTATACCGAGACTGCGACATACTCTGGGCCTGGGCTAATTGCTCAGGGACTGGCCGACACCGGGGTCGAATCAGCCTGTGTGGAGACTGTGACAGACCAGCCTGAGACTGGCGCGACTGGCCAACACCGGGGTCGACTCGGCCTGTCTGGAGACCGTGACGGACCAGCCCGAGACTGACGCGACTGACCGACACCGGGGTAGACTCAGCCTGTCTGGAGACCGTGACGGACCAACCTGAGACTGACGCGACTGGTCAACACTGGGGTCGACTCAGCCTGTCTGGAAACCGTGACGGACCAACCTGAGACTGACGCGACTGGTCAACACCGGGGTCGACTCAGCCTGTCTGGAGACTGTGACGGACCAGCCTGAGACTGACGCGACCGGCAAACACCAGGGTCGACTCAGCCTGTCTGGAGATCGTGACGGACCAGCCTGAGACTGACGCGTCTGGCCGACACTGGCGTCGACTCGTCTGAGGCTGTGATGGAGCGTGCCTGTGCCCGCCACCGTCGGCTCACCCCTGACCGTCTCCCTGTTGCAGGCCGTCGCGGCAGGACTCGCCGCCGCTGCAGTCCCGGCTGAGCATGTCTCACGACTCTATCTTCCAGTCAGACGGGCCGCCGCCAGCGCAGGGCGAGCTGGGCTCGGCGCTCTCCATTCCTTCCATCCCCGGGGCCGGCAGCCAGCTGACGGTCAGTACCGGCTGGCGGAGGACGGGAAGAAGCGGCCGAGGCGATGCTTACGGACGCTTTCTCCTGCTCTGGATACGACTGCATAACGTTCGCGGTCTAGACGCTTGTCGCTTATGGTCCGGAGGAAGGTTTCTTCGAACTAGGAGCACAGGCACTGCACTCGCGATCAAAACGTCATCATCACTACTCCGTCGATGGCAGCGCCATTGGTTCGGCGCGTTCCACTGGCGCACCACGTCGTTTAAGAACCCACCGCTAGATGTCATCTTGATCGCGTACGTTGGATGTAGGCGCCGTTGGCCGTCAAAGAACCCCGAGGCCGACTCCTCCTAATAACGGTATATGGCAGTTAATGTCGGGGCCGGATACAAATGACTTGGCCAATGGGCCCACGATGTTGGCGGGCACAAACATCAGAGTTCACATGGGTGTGTAAAAGCTCACTTGAGATGTGGTTTCCTTGATCCGTTCCGACATTTGTTATATTAGTCTATTCTCCATCAGGTCTGTCATCCAGACTATCATCAAGTTTCCGTTGCGATGGGGGACAGAGAGAGAGGATTTACCACGGAGGCCAGATGAGAGTTCGGTGTATGAATCATGATCTTGCGGTAGTAAAACCGGTACATGAAATTAAAATTCACACCGTGTACGATACCCTCCGTATATAAGACGTCAAAGCTGACAGGTACTGGCGCTAAACATACATGGCCGAACGTCAAAAGTCAGCACCTGTTACGCAAGTTATTATAACGGGGTGGCCACTGAAGTCAGCACGCAAACAGTTGACATAGCGGACCCGGCCACCCTACCCATAACCAGATGTTCGGGGAACTTCCCCACTCTGCAACTGTGTCACTTCCGCAGAACTTATTTATCTTATGATATTGCTCTTGCTATTCATATTTCATCGAGACACGTCACATAAACAAACAGCTGCAATGCTGCTAGCTGGCCGTCTGATCTGCGGCGCTCACCCTCCCTCACGCTTGGCTGGCGTTACGACCGCGCCGCGTCGGGCAGCGGTGGCGCCGCCCGGAGCGAGGCGGAAGCGGAGCCCGCCTGAGCAGCGGCCGCCCGGCGAGCTGGGCCGTACGACACCCGCCAGAGATGTCGCCTCCGCTGAGCGGCCGGCCCGGGCCGGCGAACGGCGCGACAGCCTGAGCCACAGCCGGCGGCGGCGCGCCGCGAACACGGACGTGACGCGGCGAGGCTGGGTGACGTGTCCGCCGGAACTGTCGCCGCCGCGCGACGGCTCGGCTTCGGTCACCGCCCCGACGCGCCAGTACGCTACCCCGGCCCACCCAGCCTCCCGCTGATATAACCGGCGCCGGTTTATTTGTAGACCCGGCGGCACTTCGCACTGTCTTCTCTCCAGGGGCGCCGCCTGCCTATCTGTATGGTCGGCAGAGGTGGGGGCCGTGGGTCATACCCACCGGCGGGTCGGACAGCTCCTCCAGGCTAGGGGCGTCCGCCCGGCCGGCGGTCTGGGCTGACCTCGGGGGTCAGGGTCGGGCTCGTTTGTCGGTGACGGGGACAGCAAGTGGTGCCGCCTCTGCCGCCCGGGTTTGGTCGCGCTGTTCGAATGGTTGGCCTGTGGTCAGTGGTGGGCTGACCTGTGGTGGGACACATGTCACCAGATGGAGCGGACTGAGAACCTCTCCGAGGTAAGATCTGCCCACGGCAGCACGCCAGCCTATCCAGAAAGGGCCACTGCGTTTGGAGCCCATGACGCTGTTCCGATGCCCAATTACTTATACTGCTTCGTGATCAGTTGTATTGGGATTGGTTTCCAAGCTGGTCATGACTGAGGAATTTCTTTGGTGTATGACAAGCTTCGGCCGTTACACCACGGACGTCATTTCACTGGAAGGTTGTCGTAAGAACGCAAAACCTTGCGAGTTTGAGGTATTTCCCATTCAGCCGTGCGTTTTTTAAACAGGCAATTAGCAAGGCCGACCCGTTATTTGGCGCCCAGCTCTCACCAATTACCGTGTCTTCGTGCGTTTTCCCGGTATGATCAAAGGACCGAAATCCCCTGCTCCGTTCCCAGGCATCATCCGTCTGCCGCCTCCGTCGTGTGCTGCTCTTGGTTCATGGGAGAACGCTGCTAGACACGCTCATCCCTGAAACAAATCGTCATTTCTGTTTTCACCGTCGATTTTACTGGAGGCTGTGCACACTGAGCAATACTTCGTCCGATGCTGTGGTGTAGACCACATAATCCTATAAAAACCTGGCTACCCTTTGTGTAGAGTTTCGGTTGCAGACAACGCCCGCCTCGTCTCGTCGGCAGTGACCTTGGCCGGGAGGGGAGGGGAGGGGGCGTGGTTTGACCGGCGCGGGAGCGGTCAGCCCCACTCAGGCCGGCCACAGCCACCGGCCCTGGCCGTGTGAGCGTCAGTGCCCCAGACTGAGCCCGACAGCCGCAGCCGGACCGCGACGCCGGCCCCGCCCCGCCCGTGGGATCGCCACAGCGCCCGTGGGAGACGACGAGCTGCTGGGTCAAGGCGATGCAGCGAGGGAGGCGGACTGAGGCAGTGCTGGGGTTACATGGGCGCTTGATTTTTGTGGCTTTCTAACCAACTATAGATATCATCCACAGTAGCGAACGTTGTGGATGATGTAAATATCATAAAACGAATTACACAAAAGTAAACTTCCTGTTATCGATAGCGCACCTTCTCTGCGACTGAGCATCTTTATCAATACTGAACCGGACACCGTACCACGGCCAAAACCGAAGTAAAATACCATTTGTAAACGCAAAATTTGGTGTTTTCATCAAGCCTGTCCTCTTCAGGTTAGTTTGAAACTTGTGAACTCACTCATATAATTGGCCACGCAAAATGTTACGCAGATATTCACTTTGACCACTTGATTAATCCATCTTGATATATTACTGAGACACACACTCACAAATCTCAAAACTGTTCTGAATAGGACACCTCCGCCGAATAATATAGAGAATATAGTGAATTTGCGACTTATTTATTGTATATCACTTGAGTCCGAGCTGCCGAATTATAAAGAGAATATAGTGACTTTGGCGGGTTATTTATTGTATATCATTTAAGTCTGAGCCTGTGGTCAACAGTGTATGATATGATAACGACAACAAAGCGTTCAGAAAAGACGTCACTGGTTTTTAGTGGCAATCAAACAAATCACTGGTGAGTGTTCCGTGCTTTCCTGTGCTGTTAAAGTTTCGGGCCGTGTTCTGAACTATTTGTAAGGCACCTTATAATTGGAGCAAACAGGGGTGGGTTAGCTTTAGACTTATATTTTTCTCTTTTACCGTAGAATTAAGGACATGAGGTTAAAGATCTATGATCTGAAATTATGACTTAAAATCATAAGGATAATACCATCAAAATATCTTTAATTTAATTTAGAAATCCACCTGATGCATTTTAACTGAGCTCTGCCCGCCCCCTCCGTCTTAACGCAATTCTACCTGCGCCGCTGTACCTGACCTTCACGCAGTGGACGTGACAGCGTGGCGGGGAGTGACCACAGTGCTGAGCGGCCCGCGCTCCCGTGTCCCCAGGCCGTCCCCGCGGCGCGGCGCCGTGAGCCGCCCTGACCCGCCGCTCAACTCCCACGTCCAGGTGCGGTGGGCCGACCCTGACCTCCGGGCGGACCGCTGCCCGAGGTCGCCCCCTCCCCCCTCCCACCGGACAAGCTGCGCCGCCAGTCAGCGTGCGCCCGTCCCATCTTGGGTGCGTCCGTCGTAGGGAGAGCCCCGCCTCCCGGCTGGGTGGTGACGCAGTATTCACAGTTACGCAATGACGCAGAAATACCGAGCGATAGGCAGCGCAATGTCCGGACCAAACCTACCGAAACTGGCCCTAACCACATGCCTTCCTGTCATGTTCAGGTGTCTGGCGCTCCGAGTCATGTCCTTAAATGTACCGTTCATTCGCCTCGCAAATCAGATCTTTCTCGATTCTTCCGGGGCGAGAGCATGTTCGCACGTTCGTCCTAACGCGCTGCCGTTAGATGCAGCCTGCTGGGTTTCAAGGTCTGGTGATTGCCTTGAGCGTTCGGCAGATTACCTGTGCACCTCGTACAGCTGCAGGCGGTTCTAACCCGGTCTGAAGTGGTGGCTGGAAACACCCTGCCGGCGTGCCCGAACGACGGCACGGCGGACTTCTGCGCAGTGGTGGTGTTACGACGGTGTGGGCGGCACTGGCGGGCTCCACCCATCCGGGCCGGGTCTTAGCACGTGCGAGACAGTCTGGCAGGTGCTGGGTCGACTCTTGCAGCGAGCACTTCCATCTGCACCCGTCTCCGGTATGACAGACTGGTCAAAGAGGGATCTGTGATCGGACAGACACGTGAAACATCCCTGTTACATTGGTGTGGTGTGGTCTGTGATCCAACAGACCCAACTGACCTTCGACCTGTGATCCAGCAGACCATACCGATGCGTGGTTTGAGTTCTAGCGCATCCTCTGAGGCTCGGTGTGCCGTCTGAAAGGCCCACCTCCTGCCAGGCTCACAGATGCCGACCACAGACCCGCAGGCCGCAGCCGCTGCCTGCGCCGCCGGCCCCTAACGAGCCGATAACGAGCGCCGCCGAGCCGTCCGGCCGGCGGCGGCGCCGCGCCGCGCCAGTCGCTCGCCGCGCCCGTCGCGCGCGTCACGTGACGGGCGGTGGCGTCACGGGTCGTGACCGCCAGCCAGCGTGTCGCCGGTGCGCGGGCCCCGCCGACCCGCCGCGCGCGCGAGAGAGGCTGCGTGTCGCCCGGCGAACGGCAGGGTGAGCGGCGGACCGGGCCGCGCCGTCCGCTGGCCAGCCGCGCCCGCCATCTGGCGCTGACCTGGCGCCGTGCCACGTGACCTGGTGGGGCGGTGTGTGAGCGGTGTGACCTGACGTGACCCGGCGAGACTGCACGTGGCCTGGCGTGGTACGCTGCTGCGACCCGGTGGGACGCCGTGTTTTCGTAGTCTGGGAGCACCGGAAGCAGTTGTAGACGTCGAAGTGAGCTTCCGCT